CACACACACACACACACACACACACACACACACACACACATACAGACAGACACGTGTATACATGTATATACACTTTAAGCATGTTTAACTTTGTAAGACTCCACGAAAACCATGATATTTCAATAATGACTTGTGACGTATAAATTCTTAATAAATCTATTATAGTTAATACATTCAAGTACACTGTGTATTAGTACAGCCAATTTGATGTGTTTAATTTCAACTTATTTTATGTTGCCTATTTTTTAATTTTATTTAAAATGATGAATAAGATTTTTTTTAAACCGCTTATATAGTTATATATTATTAATACTATTTCTAATAATAAAAAAAATAAGGCTGTTCTTTTGAACTTTACATTGTGGACTATTTATTTTTGATGAATAGAAAGTAGTAATCGACATTGTTTCTTAATCATTAAATAGCATTTTTTTTTTTTTACCAAATTAAAAACAATTTTCCTGCATTTCTGACTAAATAAATGCGGGCTTGTGTGGAAGTGTGTAACTATATTCAGCTAATCTGTGATTTTGAAGCTGTCAGTGAGGACAAAAGGCCTGAGTTCCTGCTCAATCCTCTCATGTCTGCTTTTGGATGCAGCGTTTTGTGCGGGAAAAAAAGCCTGTTTGTTTCAATGCAAACAAGATTTATTACTGTGATATCAATAATCACACAGTCACTCATTTTGCTGAGGCCTTTGTGTCCAAACGCAGCTGCACACGCGCAAATATTTACAGCGCACATCTGCATTTTTTGTCGTGGGCAAAACAAATCCTCATAAATCTGGACGTGAATGGAGGTTTGACAGCAGATAGTGTGATAATGGCAAACAAGAGCATCATTCTCATCTGTGAGCTGACACAACCACAACAGAGGCATCTTTGTGTGTCTGTGTGCGTCACTGCACAGACACACACCATTTACATATTTTCCAGAAAAATCTGCTAGTGTTGTTCTCTCTTTGTTGATTTCTAGACAGTAACAAAGTGTCCACTGACCCGCTGCTGGCTGGACTGGTGTCAGCGTTCGTTGTGGTCGCTGCCATCGTGTCGGTGCTCGTATTCCTGAAATTCAGAAACACAAACAGCGGGCCGGAGTTTCGCAGACTTCAGGATCTTCCCATGGTAGGACTCTTCACTTGAAAACAAGCACATAAAGGCTGAAACAGTCATAAAACACACTGACAGGAAAAGCATTTCTCAGGAAACATTATTAACTCTTAATCCACCCACGGAGTCATGGTGACCCCAGGGGATGGTTGCTTTTTTTTATTCCTTTTCCTGCATTCATTCCTTTCATCTCAGGGACATAAAACAGTTCCTAAAACAGTTCTTAAAACAAAACAAAAAACTTGAATTGGTTGTTTAAAAGGTGTAAAAAAATAAATAAATAAATCACAGTTTAGGTTTATTTGAGTCAAACTGACCGCGTTTTGAAAATGAATATGAAGAGTATAAAAAAAAAAAAAATTATTAATTTGTCTAAGACAAAATTTAAACCCATTATTATTCTGGAGTGGTTTACATTTTTGCAAAGGTATAGTGTTATTATTATTAGCAGTATTATTAATTATATGCATATTTATATTTGTTTTATTAAAAACAAGCTTAGATTTGTCCACCTGTCAGGTTTTAGACCATATGGGGCAGAGCATGCGTTTTAGGATATAACTCAAGTTTTTTTAACACACTTCGTTGTTATTGTTCATTTATTCGTTTGCTGAAAATAAAAACTGAATTTAGAAATAGTTTTGAAACAAATCTTTGCGCTTAATAAACAAAATTAATTATGTATAGGCTAATGGATGTCTGCGAGTACAACATGTTTCCCTATTCACGAGAGTGAAAGTAAAGAATGGTGAGGCTCATCTCATTCTCATGCTGCAGATGCTCTGTTTAACTGTTTTCTCTTTAGTGAAGCGTTCAGTTTTTCTACTTACAAAGTCCACCATGTAAATAGCAGATCCACCATGGAGCGACGCTACTGGCTCTTAAAGGGAATGGGAGATGAGACTCTGATTGGTTTATTCTCAAAACACACCCATAACTCATTAAGAGAATAAGCTCAAGCCTGATAGACCTGTTAGCTGCAGCGCAAAGCGGATTTTTATGTCCTTAAAAGAGCAAAGGTAGATTCATTCTTGCCCTAAATGCTTTTGGCCCTGCGCTTTTGCACATGGATCGTCACAATAGAGCCCTAGAATGGGTGCCAATCAATACAATCTCAGTTTTGGAACAGTCTAATTTGAGATAATTTTGTTGCTTCCAGGCTTTGATTTCCATCAAACAGACATTGTCAACGTTAAAGCAGATAAATTAGGAGAGGTTTTAATAAAAATCTGAGGTCGCCGGCGTATCAGTGATAACCAGTACCAAATTTGTGCAAGATTTGTCCAAGAAGGAGCATATGAATGCTAAATTAGAGTGGACCAAGTACTGACCCCTGGGGGACACCCTGGCACAGAGGGACCATCTGTGATCTATAACCACCCAAATAGACGAACTGTGAACGTTCTGAGAGATAGGAAGTGAATCAGTTTAGCACGATTCCAGATTAGCCAATCCAAATTTGGTCAAAATTATTCACCCCTTTAAGCTAAATTTGTTTGATTGTCTACTAAACAAACCATCGTTACACAATAACTTGCCTAATTACCCTAACCTGCATAGTCAACCTAGATAAGCCTTTAAACTTCACTTTAAACTGTATAGAAGTGTCTTAAAAAATATCTAGTTAAATATTATTTACTGTCATCGTGGCGAAGATAAAATAAATCAGTTATTACAGATGAGTTATTAAAACTATTATGAAAAAAAATAGTCAGGGGAGCTAATTATTCTGACTTTAACTGTATGTCAAACAAAATATTTACTTGAAGATGGTTAAGCAGTTGACCCTCAACCAGACGCTCAAGAACTTTAACCAGGAAAGGTAGGTTCGAAATTGGCCAATAATTCAACAACTCAGCAGTGTCACAGCCAGTCTTCTTAAGGATAGGTGTATCAAAACCACCATAAATTCGATTGTAGTATTAATTAGCATGTATTAAATTCTGATTATTAATGTTTTAATGGTATATTAAATATATAGTTTACTTAATACAACCAGCCAAAAAGCCAACCAAAGCTTGGGGTTATACAACATGGGCTAACACAAAATACATACATTCCTGATATGCGAGTCCTATCTCGCACTTAATAAACTACACTTACTATGGTATAAATACAGCACTACAACATACAAAAGAGATCGACTTATAAAGTCATGTACCAGTTTAATAATGATTTGATCAGCTGTAGTTTAAAATTATGCTGTTTTTTCCTCTCCTAAGGACTTATTATGCCGTCTCTGTCGCCATTGTGTGGCAAAACGTCAGACGTCTTTGCTCTGCTCAGTATGACAGGCTGATAGATGCTGACGTTTTAAATCTCCAAAATTATAAATGTTTAAAATAGGCACTATCCTTATGAATAAACTGCATAATTGCAATCTAAACAACTACATTTCTGATTAAAAAAAGCCTTAAAAGTACATCATGTTGTCCAACAGTAGCAATATTTGTCAAACTGTAGTGAGTTTATTGATTTGCTGTCACTCTATGTAGGCGGAGTAATACACAAGAGTGAGGAGGCTGTACGAGTTCTGATATTGTAGAATATTGCCAGCTATCAGCCAATCAGATTCAAGAACCAGACATAACTGCATATATACACTATATAGTCAAGTCTAAAATGTTTACACGTTGAGGTATAAAATGGCCTTAAATCTATACATAATGAAAATGCATCAGCTAATGTGACCGCCTCCTCTGAATTCTCTGTATTCAATCACACAATAAAACACACAATAAAACAATTAATATGATTAAGGCATAGTTCATCAAAACTTTGAGTTTGAGTTTATTTCTTCCTTTGAACACAAAGAAAGACATTTTGAAGATGCTATGAACTCTTCAAGATATGAAGAGTTCAGATGCAAAAACCTGAGTGCCGTCTGAAATTTCCAGCAAAAATGAAGTTTTTCCTCAGCTTCCTTTGTTTATGTTGAGATATTTCACTTTAAAGACCAGGAAAATTACTTATTCTTTGCCATAAAAGTGATATTACTGAACATACACGTAAAGAAACTCTATTAAAAAGTGCTTGATGGTCTAAATGCTTTTATAAGCATAGCTTGCCTGTTCTCTGTGTGTTTCAGGATGATATGATGGAAGACGCTCCTCTCTCCATGTACAGCTACTGAAAAACACGGAGCGCTCGTCACAAACAGACACCGTTAGACAAACAGGACTAAATGTCTTTGGCTTTTCTTGCACTTTATGTGAGGTTTTGGAAAGGGTCTGTAATGTCTTCAGTTTCTCCGATAGTCGTTTTGTCTGCATCCACTTCTTCAGCGTTTGTTTTTCTGTCTAATCCTACAACTAACCTTCTGCTTTGTTTGTTTTCTAATCAAGTCTTTTGTTAAAGAAATGCTCGTTTCTTAATGTTATACTGTACATCCTCCAAGTCAGCATTGGTCGGGATTACTGAAATGCGCTTATGATTAAATTAGCCGTTAGTAGTCATATAATATTGACGTTTACATGAGAGTAATGTGATAAAACAGCTACTAATGGTGAGTTCAGACTGTAGGATTTTCAAAGTAGTGGCATCACAGATGTTTTCCCACTGCATGACTATCTGGGGTAGTGTGCAGTCGCTGCTGTGTTTACACTGCAAGATGGATCGGCGACAGGGGGTTTCACACTGCATGACTTTACAATAGGAGAATCACCGACAACTTTGTCTCGGTCCACAAACTACGTCTCACAACCAAACAAACCCAAGAAATGACAAGGAAATAACGCGAGGTCACTTAGTATATCTTTTGTTATTACCCTTTAATGAGAACGAAGCCTTTAGTGCGGTAGAAAATGAATTATTTTGCTCACCTGGGTTTTGAGGGGAATTAGTGTTTTTTCTTAAACATTTTTCTCTTATTCGAGCCGGTTGTGTGCTCAGACGACACGTCAAACAGACACGGGGGCTCCTGCCAAATTTACACTAGTTTTTCCTTCATTTCTTGGGTCCAAATAGACCGAAAAGAAACACTTTTACCTCAGGATTTCTGCAGGTTTCACCAAGTTAAATTTAAGATATTTTTAAGAGCATTATTAATTATATTTTAGACTCCTACAGGGCTAAACACTAATACTAATGGCTTTTTTATTTGACCTATCAAAAAATATAATTTAATACATTTAATCAGCTTGTTGAGTGTGATTGCGAAGCGGTTTCCGGGTCCAAGCGCTCCATTCAACTGTATGGAGAGACTTATGAATTATAAACGTTATAAAGCAATTTAATACTTTCGAAAATCACGATCGCAATATATATGTCCACAGGGCTCAAAATTAACCCATTTGATTGGTAGCACCGGTGCTCGTAACTTAAAAAATGTAGGCGCATCAGTCAAAATTTAGTCGCACCCACCATTTATAAGCACCGTTACTACAAGTTTTATACAAACATATTTATTGCATTTAAAATCAACACTAATCAAACTTACAAGCAAAAAAATATATATGCAAGCATGAGGAAAATATGTCTCAACGAAATCCCGTTATCCAAAGAAAATAGATTTTTAAAACAGAACTGAGTAAGCAAAAAATACACGGAGCGCTCACCGGCCCTGCACACACTGCCTGACATAAATGAATCTGTTAACGATAAAACTGTGCTGTTCTCACAAGTGCTGTCTGATATTGCACTGATGCTTTTGACATATACTGTGCCTTATTATATGCATACGTCATGTTAATAGCAATACCGGTCTTCATGAGTAGCGATATTAGTTTACTCAGTGTAAGCCAGTTTGCGATGGTGTACGTGGTGTTCAATTTGACATATAGCTGCCACTTGCACGGCGGACAGCATCTGGCGATTATATGAAGGATTAAACAGAAGCTCTCGTGCTAAATGTGGCAAACAGTTAGCTGAAAATTCCATCCCACTGACTTTTCATACCGGACTTGAAGCCAAGGGAAGTCTTTTATCCACTCTTGGAAAAGTGTAGATGGTGGATTAACATTCAGCACATGATCACTAGTAAGATGTGTCATTATTTGTAACTTTAAATGCCATGGTTTCTTAAACAAAATCTGTCAGTGTTATCTTCATTCTCATCTTAAGCGCTTTAGTTTTTCACGGTAGCAGCTCTCTCTGTCATCCCAAGCAAGAAGGCGCTGACTGAGTGATTGACAGCTGATATTAACCAATCATTCGTGTTCAGTGCTAGAGCAGTGGTGGGCCAATAAGAAGAGCGTGAAGGCAGGGCAAGCATTACGGACTTGGCTTTTACTGCAGCATGTCGACATGACAACTGTTTTAAACCATTCCTGAGCGCTGCGTTTCATGTTTCAAGTGCAGACAAAGAGCTTAGAGATGCATTCTGCGTGAATGTCTCCCGAATCCGTGCATGTGGTGAACATTTTGCAGTAAAAATTGGTCGCACACAACAATTTTTAGCACTCGCACAAGTGCTCCCGAATATATTTCGAGGTCGCATAAATAAATTTTTGGGTGCATATGCGACCAAAATGGTTGCAATTTCGAGCCCTGTGGAATGTCAGTGATGGCCAGATTGAGTAGCTTTACATCAACAAGAAAATTAAGACCTGTTTAAAAAAAAAAGATTTAAGACCTACAACACAACGTTTCAGCAAATTTAAGACTTTTTAAGGATTGTTTTCGAGATTTAAGACATTTTTAAACTTTAGGACCCAACAGACACCCTGGAACTTCTCCCCCAACCTCCTGCTGGCCTACAGATACCCACACTAGTGAATACTGCTCTCTCATTGGCTGGAGGTAATCGCCAATGTTATTATCAGTCAGAACAGGGTATATGCCGAGCTATACTGATACTGATAAACTTCCGGTGACCTGTTATTGTGAACTTTTTTCCATTTTATACGGTTCCTTTTACAGCATTGATGTTGTAATGTCGGTAAAATACATTCAGTTAAATAAACTTTGGCAATTATTTAGTTGCTCAAGCGTAAAACGAGACAAAAAGCCGTTTACTTGCACGCACCTGTCAGAATCGGCAGGCTAGCGCAGAAGCTCCATTGAATATACTGGGGTAAAATAAATGCTCATATTATAAAGACATGGCGGGGGAAAATGTAATTTAATGCAGTGCTTCTTGTACCCACTTTATATCAGATATCACTCGGCTAGTGGAGATCGCTGATTTTTAAAGAAAACAGCCCTTAACAGCGCCGAATTTTGCATTGGCATACAGTTCGCCGGAAGCGCTTAATCTTTGATAGTTCACACTGTGTGATTGATACTCTCGTGAACAAGCACCGATTTGCCTCTTATTGCCGGCATTTGTCTAGTCAAAATCAAGAGCTTAAAAACATCCAGTCTGAGCTTGCCATATGTTATATTCAGATTTCAGTTACTTTAGCATGACACACACATGAATAGACTTCCAATAAGTGCATTACTGTAAACTGATTTCTGCATGTTTTTTTACAGTGTGATGGAGGACATTGCTGGAAATAAAGCAAAAGCATTTCTTTAATACTGTATGAACAACTGTTTTCCAGTGTTTAATGTGTCAAGTAAGTTTCCTAAAAAAAAAAAACAACTGTCAGTGATACAAATGTTAATTTATCTTTAAGCAGAAAGCGTTAATATTTGATTCAATTGCAATGTTGTGAAATGCACAATAGTCTCTGGATTTAAGTCAAATGCTAGTTTTGCAAATACTAGTCCTTTGCATTTTGATATATACCATAAAAACAGAACCTAAACACTAATTCATGCACACTAAGTAAATAGGCATAATTTGAATGCTTTACTTGTGCCTGAAATGTTTTATAAACACGGAGAACAAAAGAAATTAGCTTTAGTTTCTTTTTATTGGTTGACAAAAGTCAACAATACAGTACTTTCATTTTTGTGATTTGTCGGCTGATGGATGTGTGACGATGTTTACTTTGTGTAATAACTTGTGAGAGTGGATTTAAAGAGTTTATGACATGTTGATGTTTTTTTATCTAATAAAAGCCTTTAAAAAACACCAAGTCTTCCTGAAATGTGGCTCACAACACAATTCATTTTCCTTCGGCTTAGTCTCTTTATTCATCAGGGCTTGCCACAGCAGAATGAACCGCCAACTATTCCAGCATATGTATTACACAGCGGATGCCCTTCCAGCTGCAACCCATCACTAGGAAACACCAATATACTCTTGCATTCACACTCGTACATTATGGGCAATTTAGTTTATTCAATTCACCTATAGTGCATGTGTTTGGACTGTGGGGGAAACTGGAGAACAAACTCCACATAAAGATGTCAACTGGCTCAGCCGGGACTCGAACCAGTGACCTTCTTGGTGTGAGGCAACACTGCTAACCACTGTGCCACTATTAAATCTTCTTAAGTTTCTTTTCTGCTTAGTCTCTTTGTTAATCTGGGGTCACCACAGCAGAACAAACCGCCAACGTTTCACACGGCGGATTATCTTTCAGCTGCAACCCATGACTGGAAAACATCCATACACACTCATTTACTACGGACAATTTAGCTTAACCAATTCACCTATAGCGCATGTGTTTTGACTTGTGGGGGAAACCGGAGCACCCAGAGGAAACCCACGCCAACACTGGGAGAACATGCAAACTCCACATAAAGATGTCAACTGGCTCAGCCGGGACTCGAACCAGCGACCTTCTTGGTGTGAGGCAACACTGCTAACCACTGTGCCACCATTAAATCTTCTTAAGTTTCTTTTCTGCTCAGTCTCTTTATTAATCTGGGGTCGCCACAGCAGAACAAACCGCCAACGTTTCACGCAGCGGATGCCCGCCCAGCTGCAACCCATGACTGGAAAACATCCATACACACTCATTTACTACGGACAATTTAGCTTACCCAATTCCCCTATAGCGCATGTGGTTGGTTTTGTGGGGGAAACCGGAGCACCCAGAGGAAACCCACGCCAACATGGGGAGAACATGCAAACTCCACACAGTAATGCCAACTGACCCAGCCAAGGCTTGAACCAGCAAATCTTGCTGTGAGGCAATTGTGCTACCCACTACACCCAAATGATCATTTGATAAAACAATAATACTAATTGGTGTGTCTGACACATTAAAAATGGCATTTTAAAAATATTAATTTATTTTATCATGCCAACAACAACAGAATCTAGATATATCATCAAATATTCACATACCTGCTGTGTTAGCTAATAGCTCAATTTCAGAAATACTACACTCTGTCAGCTCAATGTCAAAATCTGTATCATAATCAGTGAGAATCCTGGATTTGACAACAATCCAGCCATCGTGACTGATGTAAACTGCTGTAACACTGTTTTCAGCCTACCTAACCAGAACACTTTCTCCACTTCCTGTAGTAGCAGCTGTTGGTTTATTGGTGATTCTTTGGGGTCAGAGGTCACTGAGACTGAGATCTGGAGCACTGTCTGAAACTCTGTCCAGCACTTCGGCATCATTATCCAGGTCACTATCAAGCTCATTTCCTGCATCGCTGAGGTCACTTCCTGACAGATCTGTGTTTAGATGAACGTGGCGGCGGCGCCTCCTCCTGGTTTGTGGCTCTGAAATAATCAATGAACAAAAATGTGAAACATTTGTTTGTGTGTAAACCAGGATCTTAAACGGTGAGATTTGCAGGTTAAATGAAAAACTAAACATGTAAAATGATAAATAATTAAAAATAAACAAAGCTCTCCTCTTGTCAGGGTATTCATCGTTAAAGGGCCATGTCACCCACCACTCTCAGTTCAAGTCTACCTCAGAAAATTTTCAAAAAATGCATCATAATGGGCGTGAAGCTCTACAAGCAGAAGCAGGAGTGGGGGTGGCCAGCAGGGGAGAAGGAGGGAAGCGTACAACTGTTGTCAGTCGGCTCCCATAATGAGACACAAACCGTGAGGAGTACTCGCGCTGAACGCAAACAACAGACTGGGTCATCGGACCAATCAGCGCAGACTAGCATCACGCTAAGGAAGAGTTTGGAAACAAATGAATCACTGAACAAATCATACGGTAGTCGTTAGGATAATTAGGTAAAAATCAATGCATATTATAAGCAATATAAGATTTTTTTGACCTTGCATGCATATCAGCCTGTTGTTGGAGACCCCCAAAACCAAAATATGACCTTTTTATAATGCATAATACGGGTCTTTAAATGAAATGAAGCAAATTAACTGGATTAAATAAGCAAGCTTATTGAAAAAAAGTGAACTTTAACAAATCTTTCTCATTTTGTTTAGTTTAAATACCAAATTAGCATCTTAAATGAACTAAATCTTAAATGGATAACTATATAAACATAAATATGGACATCTTTAAAGGATAAAAGTAAAAATGTCAACCTGACTACAAATGCTTTAACATTAAAATGAAAGCATAAAATAAACAAAATCATCACATGTTAAAACTTTAATAGTATAAAAGACACTAAAATAGAATTTCTGCTACTAACATTACTTTAATTATTTTTGTAATTTTAAAATGTGTTTTTTTATAATTGTAAAATAAACATTGAGAAGTCGTATATAATTTTCATTACTCTCCATTTTTATAGAAGTGTAAAGATAATAAAATACCACTGCCTCCCAAACATTCCCCCAGCTGCTGAGTTGTTTTTACTTAAAAATAATTATTTTAAAACTATTTTAAAATAAAACCTCAACTGAACTCAAAAAACTAAGAAAACTGATCATTCATATTATAAATGATGAATTATAATATTATAATTATAATAATAAAAAGTATTAAGTGTTATTAAATTGAGTGTTATTAAAACTAGCAAACGGAATATTTTAAATGTGATATTTAATTTGTTCACTTGTGTTTAATTAGGGAAATACATTTAGATATATTTTGGAATATATCTAAATATATTCGGAATGAACTGCCAACTTATCCAGCATATGTTTTTCCCAGCAGATGCCCTTCCAGCTGCAACTCAGTACTGGGAAACACCCATACTCACTCACATTCACACACATACACTACAGCCACTTTAGTTTATTCAATTCACCTATAGCGCATGTGTTTGGACCGTGGGGAAAACCAGAGCAGCTGGAGGAAACCCACGCCAATATGGGGAGAACATGCAAACTCCACACAGAAATGCCAACGGACTCGAACCAGCAACCTTCATGCTGTGAGGCCTTTAAATTATGTGCATAAATAGCAAAAAAGATCCACAGATTCTGTCTGTTCCTGCCTATTCACCTGTTTCCTCCAGCCAGGACGGATCGAGTTCATCAGAGCTGATCTCCGCCAGACTCGGTGTGGGACTGAGATCATCCTCTGAGCCGGAAGACACGTGTCTCTCAGACCTCGTCTGCACCGCTGACACAGCTAACACACAGGTGAAAGACAAAATGAACACAACACAGGCAAAGAAGGCGAATGCACAGAAATCTAACAGGAGAAGCCAGTCAAATCACAAATATCAGCCAGATCAGGAATTGTGACCGTTTTTGGGTTTTATACTGTGATGCAGTTTCTAGAAAAACTGAATATCTAATGAGAAACAGTGGGCGTGGCTTGTTTTTTTTACTGCGAGCTGATTGGATGTAGTAGAGCAGGCATTTCATTCAGAAAGTGCTTGGAAAAGTATTTGGGGAAAGTTATTAGACAGACTCCTCCTCACCATTTGTTTGCTGTCAATACTGACAGTTGGAGGGGCGTGGTTAAGTATGTTAGCCACGCCCAATACCTCAGACAGACCTAATAGGGTATATGCCGAGCTAGTGTTCTTCCCATACTAATAAACCTCCGGTGACCTGTTATTTTAAACTTTTTTCCATTTTATACGGTTCCTTTTACAGCATCGATGTTGTAATGTCTTTAAAATACAATCAGTTAAATAAACTTTGGCATTCATTTAGTTGCTCAAGCGTAATACGAGACAAAAAGCCGTTTACTCGCACACACCCGTCAGAATTGGCAGGCTAGCGCAGAAGCTCCATTGAATATACTGGGGTAAAATACATGCTCATATTATAAAGACATGGCGGATGAAAATGTAACTTAATGCAGCGCTTCTTGTACAACCTGAGAAACACTTTATATTGGATATCACTCAGCCAGTGGAGATCGCTGATTTTTTAAAGAAAACGGACCTTAAAGGGTCACGAAATACCAAAACACATTTTTTGAGCTGTTGACAGTCGTATATGTGTCCCACACTGCTAAAAACACTATTAGGACACCTATATTTCACTAAAAAGTGTAAATTGGTTGTTTTTGTGTTATTTCAAGCAAATTCGTACTTCCGGTTTGAAACTAATTTTTGAAGCTGCGTCACGGCTATGACATAATAGCGTGTATTCCAGCGTGCAGACTGGGCGTCTGTGCCAGAATGTGTCTTATTATGTCTTACAGCCTGCTGCATTAATGCATGAGTAAAGCTTGGTTCAAACCAATCAGCGCGCTCTATTGTGCAACTTCATTAATATTCATTACTGTCACCGTGTTTACACGACATAGACGCCACGTTGTGTTGGCAAAACAAGCGTGAAGTGTTGCTTTTATAGTTTGCTGCAGTTAAGTTTTGTTTTCATTTTCTCTCTGTGAGAGCTCAGAGTTACGTGTGGATTAACAGTGTACGCGACGCTCGACAACAATAACTTACGTGTCTAAGGAGGATTATTGTTTACCTGAGAGCTGTTCTCATCTGCAAACGCTGAGATCCGGATTCGCTTGTAGTCTTCTCTTTATAAAGACGCGGCTCTAGTAGTTGCTGGTGATTGTCCTGTCTCTACAGATTTGGTAAGTGAGCGACCAGTGCTCTTTGTTTATTCAGTTTGTTCGTATCTAACAAACTATTGCACTGAGTGTAAACACGTTAGCACCACAACCAAACTTTAACCTCGTGTAGGGTTTTTACCGCATTTAGTGACCGGAATAACACACGCGGCTTTCTGACACTACATGCCGTGTGCATGTAAGTTTCCGGAAAATGCGGAGGGTTTTTTTCTCTCATTCGCCGTGCGGTATCAAACATTGCATGAAAAATACACGCTTAGAGCTGTTCCTCGAATCAAATATCTCGTTTGTCGGGAGGGGCATGAATGAATTCCCTGAATGAAAGAGCCAAACTGCTGTTAAAGTCCAACATTTAATAATTTGGCAAATAATTCGACTACAGATGTCCATGTAGGTTAAACACCATCACTTTCTACTGTGTGTGTGAATTTTGACTCTGAAACTCGTGCCCGAAATAGACACTCCCACACCATCCCACTTTTCTTCCTCCGACACTCCCCCCAAAACAGAGCTGGCCCTTTAAATGCACCGGTTTTTGCATTGAATACAGTTCGCCAGAAGGGCTTAACCCAGGTTACTGGCAAATTAAAAGTCCTATTAGCATGCTTTGGCATATACCCTATTGTGAATTTTACTGAAAACATAATCAAATAATCATTTAAATAGCTTGTAGACATCTGTGTGTCACCTGGTTTGTGTTGTACGTGTGCAGGTGAAGGATGAGCATCCCTCAGCACGAGACCTCGCACCTCATCCTTCAGCTCAGAGACGCTGACTCTGAAACACACACACACACACAACATAAACAGTCAGAATTCGTATTAACCAAAAGCAAAAATAAGCTCTCCCTGAAATACAATCAAATGATGGCATCATCGATAGGCAGAGAGGGCAAAAGTACACACATCCTTTACTCAACTAGAAACACAGATACTGTTGTTTAAAACGACTCTGGTAAAAGATGAAGTACTCACTACGCTTTAGTACTCAAGTAAAAGTAAAGAAGTAAGGCCTGAAATAAGTACTTAAGCAAAAAGTATTCATTGCTACACCTGTTTTAGTTATACAGTAACTACACCTCACATCATGTATACATCTATACAAAATACCTTACATTTTTCAGCAGCAAAATAGCCAAGCAACATCATTCTACAATATTGTCAAATCAAATCAAATCAAATCACTTTTATTGTCACATCATCAGCAACACGTGTGCTATGATGAGTGAAAAGCTTAGATGCTGGCTCCAGACAGTACAGAATACAGATAGTACAACTGCAGTGTCAAGCGATGCAACAAAGCTGATAATTCTTTAACTTTATGCAAATGAAGAGCGACTTTGAGCAACAGCCAATAGGAGCATCAGTACAGCTTGTGTGATTCTCAGCTCGCTTAGAGGCTGGTTGTACTCTCATTGCTGTGGATCTACACAGACCTGCGTTTGCAGCAGATCACCACCTAGAGCGAGAGGCAGCTACAAAGTCGCTGCTAGTTTGAATGAGGCATTAGAAACACCTTGCATAAGTGGAAATTCATCTGTTTGTAATTTGATGCAAAGATGATATAAATGCAAAGTACACAAACTTTAAAGGATTTAAGATGCTGTCTTGTGAAAAGGGTCCCTTACCTGACGTCGCGCACTTCCTGTTGAGTGTGCTGGTATTGCGACACCATCCGAGCGAGATCAAAACTGTGTGTACGGTACGAGTCAGTAAAATTCTCTAACATCTGCAGAATACAAACATCAACTGAACAATAAAATAAACACACCAACAAATCATAAACACATGTTGAATGTCTTTTGCATGCATATCATGACAGAGTTACTTCACATACAAAAATATAGATATTTGAAACACAAATGTGAGAATGCCTGAGTTGATCGAAATCAGAAATTGGAGGAATATTTGGGAAAAATCATTCATATATTTTTTTTTTCCAAAAGTATTTTTATTGAACATATTAGATATGAAACATACATTACAAAATAGCTTTTCAATTTTTTTTTTTTACACAACAAACAAACAAAACCTGCCGCACATACATTTAGGTTCTAGAAAAAAATATAAATAATAAAGAAAAAATACAAATAAATAGTAATAATAAGTAAAGCATATGTTACTCTCATAAATAAGGGGAGAAAAAAGAAAATACAAAAAAATTGAAGAGAAAAGAGAAAAAAAAACAAAAAACAACAACAAACAGGCAAGGAAAGGTTCTACTCTTCTAAAATGACTGAGGGGTCCATCTTTTTTATGTGGTCTAAAACAGGTTGCCAGGTGAGAAAAAACATATCAGTACAGCCTCCTAAAGTGTATCGTATTTTTTCTAAGGTCAGGTGGTGTAGAAGTTCCATAAGCCATTGCTTAAAGGTTGGAGGAAGTTTTTCCTTCCATTTCAGCAATATTAATCTTCTAGCTAAAAGCGTAGCAAAGGCAATCACATTTATCTTGCTTTTGTTAAAACATAAGGACTGTGGTGTGATTCCAAAAATTGAAATTATGGCCTCAGGTTCTATATAGGTATTTAATGCGTCAGAGAGGAATTTAAATATTAGCTGCCAGAATTTCTTTAATTTTGAACAAGCCCAAAACATATGAGATAAAGTAGCTGGCTCAATGTTAACCGGTCACAGTTAGGGTCTATATTTGGTTTAAATTTGGCTAGTTTCACTTTGGACCAATGTAATCTATGTACTACTTTAAATTGTATAACTCTATGTTTTAAACAAATTGAAGATGACTGGATATTGTCTAAAACGGATTGCCACATATCTTCTGATAGTTCTATCTCTAGCTCCACCTCCCATTTTCTTTTTAATTTTACTAGGGGTTCCAGATTGTGGGAATTAATTATAGAATATATTTTGCCAATAAGTCCTTTTGAGTATGGGCTTAGCTCCATAATAGAGTCAAGCAGGGAGGGGGAAGGCAGTGATGGATAGTGACTCATTGAGGAGGACACAAAACTTTACAGCTGGAGGTATCTAAAGAAGTGGGAATTTGGAATTTGAAACTTAACTTTTACTTGTTGGAATGAAGCAAATTGCCCATCAATAAACATATCTTAAAATCATTCATATTTTTAAAATATTTTTATGAATGTTTTAAAATAATTAATTTCTGTTATGCAAATTTGAATTTTAAGCATCATGAAGACTGATTTATAATTTCGCCTGACACCACGTCGTGGACTTCCGCTGAGTGCGCGCGCACCAACCAAACTGGACAAGGCTTTTATACTTGACATATTCTCCATTGAGATATTTTTTTCAAACGACAGAGGGGGTCAAAAAAAATCAACCGTAAAATCAGACAGATAAACATAGAAGTAGGAAGTTTCCAGAACTACACCACATTAATTTCATTCAAGATTTTTTAAACTAAATATTTTTATAAATTGTTTTAATGATTAGAAAGACTTTTATAGCATTTTAGGATTTTTTTTAATCAAACTTTAATGCATCACTTGCTTTTGCTAATATCTTGGACAATTCTACCCTGTTTAACAACATTTATTAAAATATTAATGACAAGAGAACATGGGCTGTAATATATATTTTTAAATATATATTTCTATTATGGCAAGAATAAAAGCAAAAAAAGTACAATTACAAAAAAAAATTTAATTCAATTTTTAAGACTTTTAGAACTCCACAATTCACACATTACTGTCTGGCTAGTTTGTGTCCTCTACTTATATGCTAAAAAGACAATAATGGTCCAACATTTCTGATCATTGTTACCAAGAAAGCCTAGAAAAAACAGGGCATCAGTTTACTGTAAACCGATAGGTTTAAATATTCTTTTCCAGTTATCAAATAAATCATTTGTTAATTCATTTTAGTTTTGTAGCTATTAAACTATTTTAAATTCAAAATTGTAACATAAACATCAGTGTAAAACCTATGAATGATGGAAAACCATTCTGTAATTGTGTATTAATTAAAACCACCTGGGTTTCCACTTTTAAAATTTAAGAGGAAATATAAAACAATTTATATTCTGACAATCTTTACTTTTTCTTTCGATCGTTTTAAGGGGCACCTACGATGAAAATCAACATTTGTAAGCAATGGACAGAACTGTGTGAATATATAGTGTCCCCACAGTCATATTGAGGTGAAATAAACCCAATAAGTCTCTTTTTTTTTAATTTCCTGACTTTAAAATAGTATCCAAATCCCAGTGTTTTTGAGCCCCACCGCAACGTGATGTAAGAGTGCGGTTTCCCCGCTCACCAAATTATTTAACAGGCGCCATGTTTCTAGAATAACATGTATGCACACGTTCACAGAGCATTGTTTTTGCATTGCAAATAAACTAGCCTAAAGTATTTGTACTCTGTGATTTTTATAAGTTTAAACCCTTTTAAAAACAGCATGCTTGCAACAGAGTAAAATCACTATGTAATTCTATTGTACTATGTAACCGCTATAATCACCACGGTCACATGATGTCAGTAAAAACTAATATGTGTGCACTCTAAACGGCATTTATATGACTTATCGTTTCAGAAAGGCTTGAATAAACTACACCACAAATACATGAAACAAACTTACTTGGTATTTCTTACTACTGAGCTGTATTTCAGCTTCATCTGAGTCTATATCACTGACTGCTGTTTATCTGACGTAACGCATGATGAGATGCAGACACGCAGGTGGAAACGGTGGGCGGGGAGAAGCAACTTATTTGCATTTAAAGCCACAGGCTATAAAAACAGCTACACTGTATCCAGACACCAAAACGGGCAGGTTTTGGAGGCTGTAATAAATGATCTGACTGGTATTTTGAGCTGAAACTTTATGGACACATTCTGCAGACACTAAAGGCTTGTCTTACATACAGTTAAAGGTGTAAAATAGGTGCCTTTTAATGGGCTAATTCGAATTAAAACTATTACTGCTTTCCAAAAATCTACAGGCAGCCTACATAAATGTGTAAGTGTGTTTTATTGACCTTAGAGCTGCGTTCATACTGTCTCCTTGTTTCTCTGGCCTCCGACTGAAGCTGAAACGTATCTTCCTCCTGTCGCACTATAAAAATATAAAGCAGTTTGCTTATTTAAAACATTCACAAACATACATAAATGTCCCCAAAATGCCCAGGGTCAGAGAGTCTATCAGTATTTTTAAGTGTTATGAACATGAAGCCAGCTCCAAAACAGTCAGTGTGTTGACTTGTGTGACAGAGGTTTATTTGAGTGCGTGTATTTTGACACAAAGTGTATTTGCTCTGGCCGAGAGCCCTGAGCGAAATAACGGAGCACTAAAAAGAGCTGATTTATGCATGAAACATTATATTGCATATATCTAATATGCGCAGGTGGAAAAGTCAGGAAGTGTCTAGTATTTGACCTACAGAGTTTATTTTTGATGATGTCCACCTCTCTCCTGAGCTGCTCCAGCTCTTCTCTGCGCAGTTTAGAGCTGAAACTGAACACAAACATTATCAGAAACACTCATTCAGTACGTTTACGTTTAATATGATTATTATTTTCAATACTTGGAGTAAGAGCTTAATGGCAATATACATTTACATATTAATTATTGTGTTTACATGAGGTAAAGTTTAATCGCAATATTGCCAAAACGCCCTTATCTGCTTCATTCTTGTCTGTCACTGTGCTGTTTATCTACGTTAAGGCTACACGAGTTAGAGCAATACAGAGAGATCTCCATGGCTCTGACATGCACGTGGGAATGGTGGGTGGGGAGAACCAGCTCAATTGCATTTAAAAGCAACAAAAACAGCAACAATGTCCTATAATAAATAATCTGATGGGTGTTTTGAGCTGAAAATTTACAGACACCAAAAGACTTCTCTTAAATCTTGAAAAAGGGGTAAAATAGGACTCCTTAGGATACTCCTTTTACAGTAGTCTCCGTTTTCAGTGGCTTACTAACACACTTAATATCAATGAAAAATTCATGTTTATTTTTGATACACATTACAGGTCTTGGTTGTGTGTGTGTTTCATTGAAATCTCTGTTTCCTTTTTCAGAATATTTTTATATCTGTGTAATGTTACATATTATTTTTCAGCATCAATACTTCAGTGTTCAGGATCACACAATCCTTCAGACAGGTTTTCAAACATTAATTAGTACTGCTAATGCTCACTATAGTTTTCCAGCTGAAACTTGCAGCTGAAAAATGATACTCTATCATAAATGATATTATGTTTTAATTCAAGCATGCCTTATATTCATCAAGTGACAGTAAAGACTTTAATAATGCTTCACAATTTCTGTTTTATTCAAACAATGTTCTTTTTTTAACCTTACTAATAATACAAAAAATACACTACATCGCTTCCACAAAAATATCAAGTACTACAGCTGTTTCAATATTGACAATAAGAATTAGTTGACCAGCAATCCCTTTAGAATTTCAAAAGGATCATGTGACTGAGTAAAAATGCTAAAACTTCAGCATCCATTCATTTTCCTTCAGCTTAGTCCCTTATTTATTATGGGTCGCCACAGTGGAATGAACCGCCAACTATTCCGGCAAATGTTTTACGCAGCTGATGCTCTTCCAGCTGCAACCTAGTACTAGAAAACACTCATTCACACACTCAATAATTCTCACTCATACACTAAGAACCAATTCCCCTATAGCGCATGTGTTTTGACTGTAGGGGAAACCGGAGCACCTGGAGAAAACCCACTAGAACACGGGTAGAACGTGCAAACTCCACACAGTAATGCCAACTGACCTAGCTGTGAGGCGACAGTGCTAACCACTGAGCCACCGTGCCACCCAAATTCAGCTTTATACAATATTACATTTTATACTATATTTTAGCAATGAAGTTTAAATTGATCATTGAAATTATTAAAATATCTGAATTATTCCAAATCTGTTGTCTAAAACTGTGTGAAATCATGTAACTGTGGACAGTAAGAGTGGTTTAGAGAATCATGACAGACCTTTCTTCTTGATTTCCTAGAGTCGTGGCTCTGTTGATCTGTCCTCTTAGACTGATCAGCTCTCGATCCATTTCTCTCTTCCAGTGCTCGATCCGGCGGTCCGTTCCAGGACTCAATGATGTTCGATCCGCATCCCGCTCCTTCTGTTCCAGCTTATCCTGAAGTCTCTTCTGCTCCTCTGGATGACAGTTTCTGGAGTTAATATCACTTCAAAATAACTAGACATTAATCTCTGCGTTTTCTATGGTTATGTGAGTATTCACTGCATTGTATCGGAGTAGACTGAAATCATCACCTTGTAATGTTTCTATTTGTCTTTGCTGTGCATTTCGCTCTCTTTCCAGAAACCGCAGGTTTTGTGTTAAAGTTTCAATAGCCTGCAGCAAAATAACATTTCAGTGTTCATCATTCATTGACATGTACAGTCTATTGCAGGATTATTCATTTAGACATTAATATTCAAAACAAACTTATAAACACATTTGTTTAAAAACAACAGCACTTAATACAGATAAAAAACAAAATAACCTTTCAGTATTCATCATTCATTGACAAGTACAATCTATTGCAGGATTCAATTCATTAAATTAGATGTTAATAATCGAAACTAAAGCTGCGGTCACACTGGGCTTTTCCTCCACAGACTTCCAGACCAGAAACGCAGGGTCATGCGAAAACGCATCACTTGACTGCGTGATACCAACCGAGGATCAAAACATGACCTCTCTGGACAGAAATTTTAAACATGGAGCAATCACTCGCTTTTTTTAATGCCTAATAATCTTGTTTATTCTCGCCCCTTTTCGCACACACAAACTCTAGTGTGACCGTAGCTTTACTTAGAAAAACATTTATTCATAAGTGACAGCACTAAATACAGATAAACAGGGCCCAATGTAATTTCAACACACACTAAAAATGTCTTATGCTTTTTACATTTTCATTTTTTTTTTAGTGAATACTCTGTAAAAACAATCATTAAGGAACTATGTGCATAATTATAAAAAACGAAGCACGGTTGTCAAAATTAGGGCTGTATCGAATTCGTGATTTGGACATGCGCGATTTCTAAATCGCCTTACTGCTCGATTTTCCCACAGTATGCTATTTAAACCAATCATAACACAGAGTGCCTAAACCAGGGTTCATACACATTTTTACTCTTAAAATTCTAAGATTTTTCCAGAACTTTCAAGTACATTTTCATGACGTAATGTTTCATGTAATGTCTACATATACATGGTAAATAATAAGAAAAACAAAGACGTTCAAATTTATTACAGCATATCATAGAACATGCAACAATCTATTTTTTTTATTTGTTTTTATATCTATGTAAAATTGATTTTGATAATGCTTACACAGCACTAACAATGTGAGAGCAAATTTTTGGCCAAAGACAGCAAAGAAGACAACTAACCTATATTCAAGTTAGGGCTGCACAATATATAGTTTCAGCATCCACATGGCAATGTGTGCATCTGCAATAGTCACATCGCAGAATATGCATTGTTGAGATTATAGTTTAATCTAGAGTTTAATCATAATGGAGTAAAAGTTAATCATCTGCATGCATTTTTAAAGAGTTAGTTCACCCAAAAATTACTTAACATTTTCAGTACACCCTTCACTTGTTTCAAACTTTTATGAATTTTCTATTTTAAATAAACACATAAAGAGTATAATTTTAAAACTCCTATACTATTGAAACAAGTGACGTGTGATTAAACAATGAGTACATTTTAATCTTTGAGTTACTCTCCCTTTAAGGCCTGTGACTGTGTGAACACTTCAATACTTCAAATTTTAAAACATCCGGCCACAAGAAATATTTTGTAACTTTAATAAAGAATAAATAAGATACAATGAAGACTATGCAGTGTTGATTATTCCATATCTGTACCTGAATAGTGAATATCTGAAAACTTTAATTCACTTTTATCTTTGCTATATTTTATTTATCTATGCTTGTAATTTATTTGTTATATATTATTTGAGATTCACTCCTCTACAAAATCCCCTTGATCAATCCAAATAAACCTGTTAAATCATCTGGTGAAATTGTATGCACATCGCAATATATATAACAGAAATACAAATTATCCCAATGTCAGATTTTTCCGATATCGGGCAGCCCTAATTCAAGTTTACAGATATTTGTTAAACTAACTTCCATGACTTTTTTAAAATGTTGGGGGTTTTTCTGTTTTTCCAGGCCTGGAAAATGCCATGTCAAAATTCCATGACTCATCCAGGTTTTCTATGACCTTATGAACCCTGCTAAACAGAGCGTGGGAACAGGAGACTGAGCTTAATGACAAATAGCCAGCATGATGAGTTCAGCACAGGAGAACTTGGTGCCAAAAAAAAGTCAACATCTGTGGTGATTACTTTGCAAAAAGGAAAGCTAATGTATCGCAGAACCAGGTAATTTGTAAGTCAGCCATATATTACATCTAAAAGCATGTGGAAAGCACGAGGCGTGTAGCTTCTTTCAGCATTTTCAACACGTTTTGCGCTAGAGCTCCTTTGTCGTTGTTCGTTGACCATCAATCGTTTTTTCAAAGGATGACCAACTAACGAAACATTGCTGCAGCTCCGATACAAGTTTTATACATGGAGAAAATTAAAAAGGCACTGGGTGTTTGGGTGTCCTGTGTTTGTCTGAGCTAATTAGTCTCGCGAAATGAGTATATTAAAAGTATAAAGCTGATCGATCAGTTCCTGTTACATATGCGGCATTCTGAACATTTAAATTTAAAGTTTGTCTGAAAAGAAATGTTTTTAACTAGGAGCGCCTGGAATATGCGCACTTGTTGCTTTCAATATTTGTTGAAAGCTGCACGCCTCCTTTAGAAATAACAGACTTGTGCACGTAAAAGACACGATATGTGAACGACCTATTTCACAGCAGCATCACAAAGAGGTCTATGATCTATGGATGGCAAAAAATAAATAAATCTGTGAACAAGTAGAAAATTACATGTCACTACTTCTGATATCTTGTCAAGAACATCAGAGCCTTACTTGAGTTTGACAGCACACACACACACACTAATCTATTTATTTGTTGGCCATAGGTCTGTTCTAGAGACAATTTGTTACACCTTTACTAGATTTATAGTTTTTGCCTTATGAGATATGTTACAGGTCATTGATAAAGGCTAATTACTTTCCTTTGTAAATATGTTTTAGATTCACACTGTAAAACAAAAGTGTGTGTCAAAACCGTGATTAAAATAAAAATAGCAAAATTGTTCTAGAAAATCGTGATAGGTTTCTTTTGCCCATATTGCACAGCCCTAGAAAGTACCAAGTTCACTACCGATTTAAAAATGTTCATTTCCCACTAACATTTGAGCGTGTTTTTAAACACAGCTGATTGGCCACTGTGTTCATATACTCAACAGAAATAACTGTGATTGGCCGTGAAGGTCTTCAAAAATAAAGTTAAGACAACTTGAGTCACTTTTTTTTAAAGTTATGTCAACTTGTCGCTTTTAAAGAAAGGGGTTTATGTCTCTAAAGTTACATCATTGATATAAAACCTTAATTTAATTTTAAAAGAATGACTCAGATTATTAGATGATGCCTTAAAAAAATCTGCATCATATCACCATAAGCTGCCCTGATTTAAAAAAAAAAAAACAACAACACATCAGTCGAGCTCTAATTTTTCTTCTAGCAAAAACAGGCCATTTACCATAAACTGTATTTACAGTATAATAAATTATTTGAGAGATATTTTAAACTGAAACTTCAACAAACACATTTTGGTGACAACTGAGACATGTCGTCACCTTGGAATTATAAGGTTCTATCTGCATTCGAATGATTTTGAGATACTGAGCTTTAAAGTTAACAGTATGTGTCATATTTGTTTTTTAAATAAAAAATCTTTAACACCCCATAATGTAAATAAGTTGTCGTTTAATAAGAATATGTCAATAACTCAATTTTGACAAAAATGTCAGATAGAACCTTGTAATTCTAAGGTGATGATATATTAAACATTTTAAGTAAGCATAACAACTGACACAATTTTAAAATTAAATAATTGTCTTTGCACTTCAGTCCTCTGCTCAAAAGTGTTTAAATCACTATTAAATAATATATAGATGTGATGAGATAAGCTGTTAGTCTTACCTGACTCTGTTGCTGCAACTGTGTCTGGATGGCGGTCAGATCTGTCCACTGAACAGCAGGAGTGAGAGAGGAAGAGGGCTTCAAATCAACACCAACTGTGAAGTCTCTGACTGGAAATACATCTGCACAGACAGAAACTTGTATTTTTTTAATTATGCAAAGAGATTTACACATTACATGAAATCACACACAACTGGAAAAGACACACACATAACTCAGACTCAACTTTATTATACCGTTTAGGGAAACTGAAATTGCAGCAAGGTGCCGTAACACAGGCGAAGTTCCATTTACACATTAACAAAATATTACCCCACAACATACAATACATCATTTTGTAGGTGCATCTCCCTCTCCGCTGGACTCATTTAATGACCCCCATTATAAAAGAATTTCTAGTTCTATTTGTCCTGTAAACAGGAAGTCTAAAACGATGTCCTGATTGCAGCAGCTGAAACACAGAGTACAACGGGTGATCCTGGGTGCATAGGATACCCTGAAATTCCTTTAAAACACCAGGATGGTAAATTACTACTGGACCAGTTTGGTTAACAGAAAAAGAAACATTAAAGATACAGTCAAAAAATAAATCAAATTTAATAAATCAATAATTAATTTTTCAATTTAAACTTTATTATAGACACACACTGTAATGGTTAGACAGAAGACAAAACCTTAAAAAAACACAAACAATAATAATAAAAACAATAATAAAACTATTAACTTTAAAATATGTTTCCTTTTTTATTATTTTTGTTGGCATAGTATGTAATATTTTTGTATATTTGTATTGACCTATGGTCCTTGCACCTTTTGATCAATAAAAAAATAAATACTAATTAAGACATGATAGTTAATTTTAAAAAAATCTAATAAGAATTTAATAAAAAAATTGCACTAAAACAAAATCATTAATTATTTTCAAATAACTAAATAATACATTTCCCAGCCACTTTATTAGGTACACCTTACTAGTAACGGGTTGGACCTGCTTTTGCCTTCAGAACTGCCTTAATCCTTATTATAGATTCAACAAGATACTGGAAATATTGCTCAGAGATTTTGCTCCATATTGACATGATAGCATCACGCAGTTGCTGCAGATTTGTCAGCTGCATATCCATGATGTGAATCTCCTGTTCCACCACATCCCAAAGATGCTCTTTTGGATAAAGAACTGATGACCGTGGAGGCCATTTTAGTACAGTGAACTCATTGTCATGTTCAAGAAACCAGTCTGAGATGATTCACTCTTTATGACATGGTGTGTTATCTTGCTGGAAGTAGCCATCAGAAGATGAGTACACTGTGGTCATAAATTGATGGACATGGTCAGTAACAATACTCAGGTAGGCTGTGGCGTTGACACAATGCTCAATTGGTACTAATGGGCAAAAAGTGTGCCAAGAAAATATCCCCCACACCATTACACCACCACCAACATCCTAAACTATTGATACAAGGCAGGATGGATCCATGTTTCATGTTGTTGACGCCAAATTCTGACCCGACTATCTGAATGTTGCAGCAGAAATCGAGACTCTTCAGACCAGGCAACGTTTCTCCAATCTTCTATTGTCAAATTTTGGTGAGCCTGTGTAAATTATGGCCTCAGTTTCCTGTTCTTAGCTGACAGGAGTGGCACCCGGTGTGGTCTTCTGCTGCTGTGGCCCATCCGCCTCAAGATTGGACATGTTGTGTGTTCAGAGATGCTCTTCTGCAGACCTTGGTTGTAACGAGTGCTTATTTGAGTTACTGTTGCCTTTTGATCAGCTGAAACCAGTCTGGCCATTCTCCTCTGACCTCTGGCATCAACAAGGCATTTGCGCCCAAAGAACTGCCGCTCACTGGATATTTTCTCTTTTTCGGACCAATCTCTGCAGTCTGACTTAAATGAATATTTAGAATACAATATATATATATATATATATAAATTAAACAAAAAATTATCAAAGTACAGTATTTGATTCAGTCAACTGACTTCTTAGTAATTTACTAAGATACCTAATTTAATTTAAAGTAGACTAATTTGTTTTTAAACACTTTACTGGATCTTTAAAACAATTATACATGTAATTCTCCATGTCAGAAATGATGATGTATAGTCTAATCATTTAAAATATAATTTACCTTCTGTTCCTCTGGGAGATCGTCCACGTGTAGTCAGACGTTCCTTGTAACACACAATATCAATAAATTAGAAACTGTATTTTACAGCTAAAAGTCATACAACCCCAGCTTCAGAATAAACATCAGTAAATGACATCTGGGTTAACTGTAGCTTTAAATGTAAAGTTCACCCAAAAGTAAAAAAGCCCTCACCATTTACTCACACTCAAGCGTTTCTAAACGTTTATGAATTTCTTTCTTCGACTGAACACAAAAGATGATATTTTAAAGAATGTTGACAAAGCAGCCAGTGACATCAATAGTAGGAACAAAATACTATGGAAGTCAATGACAAATGTTTCCCCCTAACATTCTTCAAAATATCTTCTTTTGTGTTCAACAGAAGAAACTTAAACAGGTTTGGAACAATTGGAGGATGAGTAAATGGCAGAATTCAGATTTTTGGGTAAACTGTCCTTATTTAGCAGATTAACAGGGCGCACTCTAGCGGTCACCATCTGCAATACTCAACAACAGACACACATAGACATAAAATAATATGGAATAATGAATAAAACAATTATTTAGTGTTAAAATATGGTGTTTTACCCTCATTTTTGCGACACTTCCATCAGCCTCGGAAAGAATGGAGCTCAACTGATGGTCCCAGTTCATTATTATCGCTCAAACTAAACGACATGTAAACAGAAGTGAGGTAAAAAGTAGATTTAAATTCGCAAATTCAGACTTTCACACTAAATAATATAGTTAAGCTGAATGTAAAAAGGCTAATGGGTTAATTATCATGGCGTATTCTCAATGTAGTTATGTTTGTAACTGTAACTGTGCGCTCAGCCTAAAAAATACTTAACGTTACCTCTAACTAACACTAACGTATGCAATGTTTTGACTGAAAATGATAAAGCTGGCAGAAATAAAGACAGGCGATGTTACAAGAACGGGTAACGTTAACGTGAAACGGATCGCGTCAGTTTCTCAGCTTTAGTAAACAAATAACTGTAACGGCTCTTGAAAACGCGCGCGACCCAGCGAATCGAGCGGTTACTTTTCACTCTCTTCACCAACGCTTATCCTATTAAAATTCTTTAATTAATGTGATATTACATGTCTAAACGCCTCTTTTCAGCACGTCGGTGATTATTTCGGTTTAAATCCAAGAGCCACTATTTTTAATACACGTCACTTCCGTCTAACCACGTGGATTGTGGGGAATGTAGTTTTTGAGTGGCTGCACACTTTTGGTCACTGTGTTGTGAACATAAATATAGCTATACGAGCAAAATTAGTAGACCCTCCATAATTGTGAGTTTCTCTACGCATTTATAGATATATGATAGTTTTTAACTAAAACAGGATTGCATTGTATTACATATTAAAATTTAAAACAAAATCAATTTTCTGATTTTTAAGATTTGTTTAGATTTATTTTAATATAAATTTAAGGAAATCAGATTTGGAGGAATAATGTGGTGTAGTTGTAGTGTAGATTTGGCTGACAACCCAGACCACGATAGTGTATTGTCTACTCTGTGAGAAAAAAATATATATCTTTACATAAATAATTAAATATACAATAATTACTCTCTAGCTGAGTGTAACAATTTTTAATTCCCAGCACAACATATTTGTAATGTTTGTGGGTGTGCTGAGTTAAATTCTCTTTTGGCCAGAAAAGATTAAAAAGATTAGAAAAGTTAGACGGTCCATGTATGTTTTGTTCATTTGTTTTCCATTTTTAAATGGAATAAAGATTTGGAAGAAATCTTACCAGAAAAGGCATTGTGCAGACTAAAAACAGACAAAAAAAGTACAAGAAAATTAGCCTACTTAAGAAAGTGAGATGTAGAACATGTTGCTAGCTTGGGCCGTAGATCTGCCTGGATCCAAGTCTGCAGCGGAGTAGGCCACATCTAATGTATATATCTATGATCAAAGCCAAAGCAAATGCGTTATTTTTCTGAGATTTGATTGGTTAACGGGTGTCATCGTGACCTCTGATTGGTCAGACTCAAAATAACCGCCAACTGACTCCGCGAGGGTGTAACGTCTCGCGCGTATTCATTGACACTATTTGTACTTTTGATTAACCAGTTTACTGTCGTCAAGCTAAGATTCATTAAAATAAATTTGTATTTTGGCCTCGTAAAACGTCAAAAATGTCAAGTTTAGACGTAATCTGTGAGAAGATTCATCAGGGTCACGGCCCGCGCTGGGAACGGGCCGGCATTTGCGTTGCGTGTGTGGTGGAGATGATGGACCGGGCAGATGTGTCGGTAAGTTCATCGTTACTTGAATAAAATTCCAAATAATAAGTTTGCTGACCGCTTTGTGGCACTGTGACACTGGTCACGAATAATGCTCGTTTCCTCAGGCGGTGCGGAAGCGCGCGGCGCTCGTCTCCGCAATGCGCGTGGACGCGGTACGGGAGCTGCTTTATGGCGAGGAGGACCGGAGAAAACGCTTCATCTCATCATTACTGAGTTAAACACCCACTCACACTTAATGATTGTTTTTAATTGCAACTCTAACATGTCATTTTAAAACTTCGTACATTGTATTTGTTCGTTTCTCAGTGTATATCGATGTAAAAAATTATCGTTATTAAACTTAATGAGTGGCATACAGTCAAAGAGAAAGTTAAAGTTAAAGCATTTCACGAAACAACAACAAACATGATACTGTTCAGCATTTTAAAGTCTCCTTTTTATTAATAAAACAAAATTGTGTTTAAAAATGTTGTTTTATTTTTCTGTTTGCATTTATAAATACAAAACTCCCAATAAGAGTTCATGGTTAAGTTTGCTTGGCCATATTGAACGTATAAGTTAGTTGACACTTTAATCCAACCTGACTTACAAATGTGGAAGTCACGTTAATATTTTCTCAGAAAACTAATAATTTATCATTTCAGGTAAATATTTACAGAAAAGCAGGATTTATTAGTGATATTTTTAATTTTGTTGGATGAAATGCTCACAGAATTAATGATATAATATTTATTTCTGTATTTATTTGTTTACAAATTGAGGAGCAGACTTTAAAACAGGCTTTCTATAAAATAAAAAGGCATCTCGATTAGCATTTGTGCAGTGACGGAGCTTTTAGATACAGATAGGGAAACTGCCACAAACATGGATAACCAGTGTAAAAACACATAGAGATGTTCAGGAAACTGCTTGTCAGTATGTTTTTTCTCACTGTCTTGTTTGTGTGTTTAAGGATTGCTGTTCAGTGCTGTGGACTCGTCTCTGCTGGACCAGACTGTTCAAGGTGATCAATCACATCTCTTTAAATTGATATATACATTATTTAGAATCCAGCTGTAGTCCCAGATATTATTTTACTAGTGGCTTCAGGACACTATATTTGATTTATGTAAACGAGGACTGCAAAATAATGTAAACGGTGATATACCAAATAATTATTCCTACATTGTACTACAGTAAAACTGATCCAATTTGTGCAGTGGACAAATCTGTAGCAACTGCATGATGCTATCATTATTATTATTATTATTTTTATAACCTTTATTTTACCAGAAAAGACACATTGAGATAAAAATCTCTTTTACAAGAGTGTCCTGGCCAAGATTAGGCAGTACACAAGTCACATCAGTCCAACAGACAACAAACAAAAAACAATTTAACATGAATCACACTGACAAACTATTCAAAACATCTACAAACCTTTGTTTCAACTTCTAAATCTTTTATAGTCTTTTTAAAAGCATGTAGTGAAATCAAGTATTTGAACTGCAACTGTGTTTGCAGATTGTTCCAAGCAAAAGGTGCTGCGTACTTAAAAGCCTTTTTTCCCATCTCAGTCCGCACTTTAGGAACAGACAGTAAATAAATACCGTGACCGAAGACCATAGTTAAGAACAAGCTTTTTACTGATGTAATTCTGGAGATATGATGGGAGTAAACCCAGTATACATTTGTAAACAAGGATATGCCAATGCTTGAGCCTACGA